CAGCTTGTCAGTGCTTGCGTGCGATTCCAGAACTGGACTAGGATGAGGCAAGAAGATCACAAAGCAGAGCTTGGCCTGGGAACTTAACAACTTAGTGAGACATCCTGTCGTCAGACAAAAACTAGAGAAATCGGGCCAGAGAGTTAACTCAATGGTCTAATCACCTGCCAGGCAAGAATAAGGACCGGGGCTTAATCCCTAGCACAGCATGCTGGTCCTGTAACTGGGCGTGGTGGCACATACCTGTAATCCCAATGCTGGGGGAGCTGAGACAGAAGAATCACTATGAGTCTGAGTTGCATAGCGAGACCCTATACCAAATAAACAAGCAAACAAACAAACAAACAAACAAGAGACATACCTGGGAATGTCACCCAGTGTGAAGGCAATGAATTCAATTCCTGGGACAAGAGCCTCCACCCCACCCAAAAAGTGTTCCAGGCTAACAGGTTACAGTGCTGGGTTACAAAGGCAGGAGATACACAGAAAAGAGTAACAGACTCTGGTGATGGATCAGGCGTGGGAGTTAAGCGTGGTACAGAAGATGATGCCTGGGATTGAGGGTTGAAGAATTGAACAGAAAACGGCATCCCTCATGGAACAGCATGATGGAAGGCAGAAAATAGATTTGGAAGACGAAAGTTGTGCATTCACTTCTAAAAGACTGAGTTAAGCATATATTTAAAACATCAGATAAAGTCAAATGCAAAGTCATATGTTAAAACTTCAGGTATCAGGAGAGTACTAGCACAAAAGCAGCTTGAAGTCACCTATCTGGACGCAGAAATCAACGTTTGGATGGAAGAGATATCTGAGGAAGATTCAAAAAAAAAGGAGAAGACACTTAAAGCTGATAACTCAAAGGTCTGAAAATATCTCTAAAGTCACTCAGGATCAGATTCTATGTTCTCCTGGAAGTTTATAATGCACCAGTTTACCAGTATTTTACCAGTATTTCCAACATATTTTGATAAATTTTTTTAAAAGAATGAGTGTGGGCCAGGGAGATAGCTTATGCTGTATTTGCAACTAGAGTAATCAAAATAAAATATTTTATTTATAATTCATCTATATATCCTTATTTTTGTTTTGTTTATAGCTATTCCAGAATCAGAAGCAACTGGTGTTAACTTGATATGTAAATTCCAATTGTTCTTAAATGTGCAGAAAGAATACAAACATTTTTAGAGTACATGAAGTTAAACCTTTATTTGGAAAGAATAAGCTCTTGCCTGGCAAGTGCAGGGTCCTGAATTCAATCCCCAGTACTGCAAAAATATAAATAAATAATAAATAAATAATAAATAAGAAAAGAATGAGTGATTTGAGAACAATCTTTTGGAAAATATCTATTGATGAGCACTGCAGCAATTTTGAGAAAATTTCATTCTGCTACAAATATATCAACCAGTAAACATTTCCCTCCACTTAATAAAGGTATATATACAATTAAATGGCAGTGCAATCTATTATTTCTTTCAGGCAACATGTGAGAATTTTCATTTCTTAGGCTTTCTTTGTTTCTGTATAAAGTATAACGTCCCACCTCACAGCATGTTCTAAGTACAAGGCCAGCCTCATTGTATGAACACGTTCCTGGTCAGAAAGATTTCTGGGAAGTCATTGTACTTATGTTTATCCGACATAAGCCTACTTATTTTGGTGACAGATCTTCTCCATAAGTGAGATGCCATGATCCAAGGATACATGGCTTAAAATTCACTGCTTTATTCTACTTTTGGGGCAAGCAAAAGAGAATACCAAAACCAGGACAAGGTCTTGTTTTAGGGTTGGGGGCTTTGATAAGTAAACATGAATACTAAGTTAGGAACATTGGGCCCAGTTAGAGTACTACTGAGGTCACTTCTGCTGGCATACATAGTTCTAGTCCTCAAAATAGAGGGCAAAATGATGAGATTTTTAAACTGATGTAAACAAAACTTTTCTAAATTTTCCCTTTTTTATGCTTTGCTTTATATAATAAATTAATTTATATAATAAATTATTCAGTGTTTTCCCCTGTGTCATGTCTTATCCTATCTTAAAACCAAAAGTTGTAGACATGTTCCAAAAGTCAACATTAAACAGAAACATGTTTGTCAGCATTTCTAAGGGGATGCGCAAGAACTGGGAAAGGAAAACATATACTACTGTAATGAGGGTGAGTCTTACTTCTGGAACCTCCTAGCTTTGAATTTAAGTCCCAGCTCACAGGGATTAAACTTACTGATCTATCTAACCTCTTTCCACACAATTATTCTACAAACCAAAAAATGTGCTTCATTAATAAATTTGAATAAGTTGTATGTATGCTCTATACTCTAAAAGTATTTTTGTTTTAAAAAGTAAAAATTTTCAACAGTTTATGTGCCAAGCCAGATTGGGTATATAAATTCTTAGTTAAAGTCATAATTATCTGACAGATATATTTGAAAGTGTGACCTATTAGACATTTTCTTAAAAAGAGACATGTCTACATTTTTCTGAAAAATAGGTAAGTATATATTCATCTTAGATTTATACTTAAAACCATAAACTTTTTGTTGTATTTTAAAGTTCTTAGTGATTGCATACTGTATTTGTAACTACAGTAATTCAAATGAAATATTTGTAATCCACCTATATATCATTATTTTTACTTCACTTATAGCTATTTCAGAATCAGAAGTAACTTGAAATGTAAACTCTAATTGTTTTTAAATGTGTAGAAAGAATACAAACAATTTTAGAGTACATGAAGTTGAACCTTTATTTGGAAAGCTGAATTTCATGTGTAATGAAAATATTTTTCAATCATACATATTCATAACATAATACAAACACCACCATCGATACAAACACATTTAATAAAGTTCTACTATGAACATTACACTAAGTGAAAAAAATAAGGTAATCAGGTGAACCTGCTGTATTTTATTACTCTAGATGATGTAATAAAACAATTTAGGTTACCAAACAAAGTAAGCTTTGGCTCAACCCTACTTATTTCATAAGAACACTAAGATATATACTACCACAATACTACGATAAACCCAAGCCCAGTATAACCAAAGTAAAATTTCAACAAGAATTGTATCATAATGGCCTGTAAACATGTTTAAGATTTAAATTGGCATTATGTTTAATTGCTTAGAAAACACACCAACGTTTTCGTTATTGTCCTCCTCCCTTCAGCTTATCTCTTCCATGATATAAAATAGGAAAAAATATTACTCGAGACTTCCAGCATAATTCCATTGTGCTCTACATTTTTATAAATATGGATACATCTAAAATATCAGATGCCTTTACACCAATAGAATAAATTCACCAAATCCACATTTTCTTATAAACATGCATGCAAAATTAGTGGAAAACACTTTTGTATAGCAAAGACCCTGCTTCATTTTCCTCTGATTAATAATTTTAAATGGCATATGCAAATCATACTGCTCAGTGAACAGTAGATTTAATTTCTCTTCTGTAGATGTTTTCCTATAAAAATATATTTATGTGCTCACAGGAAAAGGTTAGGTTGGTGTGTGAAGGTGATTTTAGATACATAATTCAATTACAGATTGGTTTATGAAGTTAGAAGGCATCTTAGCTTTGATCATTTGCAAATTTTTCTTTATAAAAAAGAACACCCTGTGACAAAGATTTATAAGCACTTGATAGATGAGAGTCTGAAGCAAAGTTGCTAGTCAGCTTTGCTAAGGTTCATGTACAAACTTCAGTGCTGGAACCAGGAAGAGAACTTGGGCTTTCCTGACCCATGGACCATCTTGCGCAAACTGATCCCCATCCACGATCCCAGAAGTTATATACAATCTATGACAATAAATAATATTGGAGTAGACTCCAGAAAGTTGTTGCAAATCTGGCTAAGAAAAAAATGTGTAAATATTTGCTGCTGTTTAGTACTCAATGGGATTTTGCAAATAATTATTGCCCATTTATATTCATCATCGAACATCACTGATTCTGTTACTTATATCTGAGGGGAATAAAATATAAAAATAATATAATTTCATAACTAAGATAAGAAAAAGCCATGGACTATTTCTGCTGTGCTGATGATTCTTGGTAGAAGTTAAACAGTATTGAAAAAGGAACCAAAGAACAATAGGCAGGGTCCATCATACTCCAGTCTTGTTTTTCATCATGCTCATGAATTTTGACTATCCAGAAGCTATAACTGAAAACCCTTGATTCTCATGCTGGTAAAAAGAGAACAATCAAGTATACAAAGAGCAGTCATCTCAGTAATTGTGTTAACTTCTATCTTAGAAATGATTAAATTTATAGAGAATATACTTTGTCGTTTTACAAACAATTTCTAGCTTGTATGACCTTCTTAAGGTCATGTTTTGGCTGCCGACTAAGATGAGGAAGTAGAATAACAGCACAATTAAGTCCCCGTCTTCAACTCTGCAGTAGCTGAGCAAATTCCTCCCAGATACATGAATACATGATGATACTTATTTCAGAAAAGTTGTGTCCTTGAAACCAGATGGAGCTGGAGTTCAAACTGCACTGATGCATGCATGGATGCTTCCACTCATGCAGGTGAGGGTCAGCATGCGTCCTGCTACACTCCTTACTTCGTGGAGTGTGGACAAACTCTGAGCCCATGACATGTTTTGAAATAAGACATATACTTGTTGCCTGTGCATCTTAGAGGACACATAAGATTCAAAAGGACAATTAGATATCCTACATGTGTTAACAGTTCATCCAAGTTCACATTGACCATTATAAATGTCCCCAATTTTGGTCCCCAAAACATATAATGGACCACATGAACCAAAATTAAGGGTTTAACAGTGTACCTCATTAATTACAGTTCAAAGAATAAAGTAAGATCTGTGAATCATAATCATAATTAATAGTAGCTTCAGGGTAAGGTTAAAACTGTTTCCATGAATATATATATATATATATTCTTTGTACCATTTCTAAAATATTTTCATTTGCCATTTAAAAGCAAGAGTAGATCACATGCCAGGAAATAAATTCTCTAAATTTATACAAATGTTTAAAATGGGAAAATGTAGAAAAGAAAAGACATTTACCATAATTATATTTAAAAAGTGATACAGATAAACATTGGGATAGGAATTGCCATTAGAAACAGATTTCTTTATTATGGTTGGGATAGGAGTACACGCAATAACAAAACTTATTTTCAAAAATATGAAAACATTTCCCTCGATATTTATATGATATTTTGTTTTGCTATTCTTTAATAAAAGCAATATAGGAACAGCGTCCAAATGCTTTGTATAGTCTTCAGTGTTGTAACCTTGTTATTGTTCGAATTCACAGAATGAGTAACTGTAGCTGAACTATATCATGCCTATCCTCATATTTCAAAATAAAACACATCTATACTTTAAATTGTGTAAATATCAACATCATATGTACAATGCATTCATGAAATATATAACATCAGGCAGATATGACATCATATAAACATACAAAGAAATAAAAGCTGTGAGCTTAGAAAAGGTGATATTAAATAGATAAACCTATTAGAATCTCAACATTGGCACCTTATTCCTGTCCTTCCAAAGAAATTTTTTAACCACCAGTCCTTTTGCAGTTTGCATTAGTCAAAAACAAAACAAAAGGTTTGCTGTGGATGTCATAACCGGTGAAAACTAAAACTCATGTTGAAATTGAAAAATCTATAACTCTGCTTAAAGTTTAATATCTCTGGGCAATTAGTTAGGAGCTCAATAAATACTAGTTGATTGCTTGCCTAAGACTTTTGCTACAAAAAATTAAATAAGTTTAGACTGTATATATTCAATGCACTGTTTTAATAAGACATTCACATTCCTTTTTACATTTTTAAATAACCAGTTTGCTTACAATCATTTCACCTGTAGTGAAGTAAAGTCACTAATACAGTTCAGAGACTGAATACAAATGTGCGTATGGAGATAAACCCACATTATAGCAACCTCTATGCAAACCCACTGTGCAGTGACATCAGGCAGATATGGCATATGCCAAAAGGATACTTTGGATTTAGAGATGTGTCTAGATACAGGATTCATTTTGTATTCTGCATTTGCAACACCAAATACAAAAACAAAAACAGAACATAGCCTGGATATGGTTGCTGTTTTAGTTTTTGAAGGCAGAGCTATGATCCACATAATTTCAGGATACCACATTCTGGAAACAATCTGCCAACATATTCCTACTCCTATATGAAAGTTCTTGCTTCCTTAAACAGATAAATATGAAAAGTTGGAGTAAGCCATCAATGTCATGTGACCATGTTGTGTTTATGCCCGGAGTGGAAATGTTGCCGTAGAACTTCCGTTGCTCTCAACAGATCCCTTCTCTTTTGATCCAGCATAAGCACCAATAAATGACCCATCTTCATTGAAAAGCCCATGGTCTCCCTCTCCATACTGGACTAAGCTGTCAGCACTTTCCGTAGGCTGCATATCCCTATGGAGGGAGCGAAGGCTTCCTTTGAGAGGTTTTTCATCACTATCACTGGAAAACAAACAGAAACTCCTAAAGAACTTTATATTTGTAGTCACATAAAAGCATTCTTAAATATTAATAATTTTGAGGACATCAGTTTCAGCATGGAAGAATATAGAACTAAATGACATATCCATAAATGAGTGTTTAAAAAGTTGCAACCAGGACCGATGAGATAGCTCAGTCAGCCAAGTGGCTGCTTAGGAAAGCACAGGGACTGGGGTTGGATCCCTGGCATCCCATTCTGCACCAGCCCTGCCCTCAGGTGTGCTGAGCTGGCCACCGAGACCATATGTGTGGTTCATGCCTGTAATCCCAGTGCTGGGGAGGCTGATAACAGGAGGACCACTATGAATACCAAATATACTTTAAAAAAAGTTGAAACCAATTGGCATCATTTTGAGTGATAGATACATATTTTTTTCTTATGCACAATAGTTCCCCTTATCTTTGAAAGCAGGAGATTCTGGAAGCTATGTGGCCATTAACCCTCATATACAGAACTTCTGTGTAAATGTTTGTTTCTGAATTCATATGTTGAATTCCTGAGGCCTGGTGTCACAACAGTAAGTGATAGAGACTTTGGGAGGTAATTAGTCACGAGAGTGAAAATCCCATGAATGGTGTCAATACCCTAATAAGTGAGGCCTCAGAAAGCTCCCTCACCCCTAACACTTTATGGGAATAGAAGGAGGAAGTGCCATCTGGGAACAAGAAAGGTGGCTCTCACCAGGCCCTGCATCTGCCAGTACCTTGATCTCAAAACTGCCAGTCTCCACAAGTGTGAGAAATAATTTTTATTCCTTATCAGCTATGTAGTTTATGGTATTTTGTAATGGCAACACGAATAGACTAAGACAATATAAATATTACTTTCCTTGCTTCCTGAACTTTAGGGGCTACTAGACCCCAAGTATTAATTTGCTTTTTTATTTTTGATAGATTTTTTTCCACATCCTTCTAAAATGTTTTTTGTTTAGGTTAATCAATCAAATTCTGTTGCTTGCAAGGAACTCTCTTGAATAGCTTTATCAAACCCAGACTTGCACATACTATAAGTATACTGTGTTTCTAGTATGGATTTTGTCCTTTAAGAAAAGTAAATATGATTTAGTAATACATGCATAAAATGTTACAAACTTATAAATTTATGATCAAGACACTAAAAATTAACAAATAGTATCATAAATCTATATATCAAATGAAATGATTTCTTATAAAATATGTAAAAGGAACAATTTGGAAAAAAGATATAGAGTATTTAATAATTTGTGGTATGCATCACCTCTGTTAATCAATTATGTCTAGCCTCACCTTTCTGAGAACAGTATTTTCTTCCTTCTCTACATTATGTGTGATCAGGTGCTTACTTTGGCCAAAGAAGCGTGAGCAAAAGGGGACATGTGTCACTTCCAAGTGGGAGATTTAGTGACAGTGTTTCATTCCTCCTGTTTGGTGTCCACAGCTGTGGTTGCCCCAGTCCTCATCCAGCACCTGATGCTCTTAAGTGAATAGTTGATCACAGCAACATGTATTGAATGCACAACTTGAGAACATTTGGAAGTGTTTCTAACATCGCCATAATCCAAGCCATCCTGACTGATAGAATGATTGGCTCCTGAATTAAGATGTTGCATTTCAAAAACAAAACAAAATAAAATAAAACATGTAACACTGACTTAGGGGCCATGCAACAAGTAATGAAAAACGTAAGTAAGAAAATATTAGAAAAATTTTCAGGATGTGAATTCACATTATTTAGGGTCAGAGTACCTAGAATAACTATCTCCTGAGGTAACTTGGATATAACTTTTACTGATGAATATACAGTTTGGGAACAAGAAGTTGGAAAATATATTAACTACTATGAAGGGATGTCATAAAATAACACAGGAGATAATGTTGCCTATAGTTTTAAATAAGTAGCAGAATATGAGGAAAAATAGTTTTTAAGACAAGGCACTGATTTAGTTTTACTCCATTTTAATTTAATTTTGTTTTCTATAAACCTAAGATAATATTACCTTATATAATATTTTGAACAGGTCTCATAGGTCCCAAATAATTCTAGTCTTGGGTAATTTGAGTCCTTGTATAGTCCCATTCCCTCTTTCATGTGCTCCATTTACTGACTCACTTCAGAAGACAAGTAATTGATTTCACTTTCAAAATGAAGTTACAAAAGGAGAGTGGCTTATAACTAAGATGCTCTCTCTTGCTTGCTTTGAAGAAAGCCAGCCACCATATGGCAAGTTGCACCATGGAGAGATTCATCCAATATAGAATTAGGAATGAACTTTAGTCTGTAAAAATTGATTTCCTTATTCCCACATTCTGCATGGAACTGAGTCCACCATGGAACTGGACCAGAAAGTGATCCTGTTCCAGCTAAGGTCCAGGATGTGACGAGCGTCCTGGGCAACAGCCTCTTCCACATTCTGAGAGACCCTCAGTCTTTGGCACACCACTATTAAGCCATGCCCAGACTTCTTACTCAGAAGCAACTGATAACTAATGCAACAGCAATATCTGTCTGTCTGTCTGTCTGTCTGTCTGTCTGTCTCTCTCTCTCTCTCTCTCTCTCTCTTCCTATTTTATTCTAGAAAGAATTTAAATAGATTCCTGAAGAAATACAAAAACATAAAAAAGAGTATTAAGCAGAAGAAAAAACAAATATAGATTAAGTAGAGATATGATGAGTTTCAAATATGCATAAATTATCTCAGGACAGCTAATCAATACCTCACATCCTGGATTATAGTGATGGCCACATAAAACCAGATTTCTTATTTCATGTAGATTTTGGAATTATGTTATTATAAACTCAATATGAACTGGGAGTAAGTCTCTTGGCCAGAAATACAAAAACAGAGGGACTAAAATATGACAACACAGAAAAAGAGCTATGAAATGGAGAGGCTGGTGAAGTAAAGTAACATAGAGAGATACAACCTGAGAATGAGTTAGTTTAAAATTTCTTCAAGCTCTACAGATCTTGGTACTTGAATTAGTTCTCCCAGCTGAGGCCCCTTTTATACTCACAGATTTGATGTACTGCTGATCTAGAGCCTGGTGTATTCCATTTTTTATTATATTTATTGGGCTCCTTTTAGACAGAAGTAGCTGGTTTTTGTTAACTTGTTCTAATTCATTGATTACAGTTACTTGAATGTGTATTTTTTCCTCTGCAGACTCAGTTCACAGTCTTTTATCAGGGCAGGTACACACAGAAGCCCTACTATGTGTGTGGGGGGTGTAGGCTAAATGGAATACAAATTCACAGTGGCTTCATGACAGTGTAGCTACTTCCAGAAGTACAGGTAAAAGTAAACTGTCTTGTTACATACAGACCATTATGAAACCCAGCTCATGTGCTCTCTTCCCAAGCTGTGGGTAATACATTCACCCTGTACATAGAAATTTGGTTCTGATCATTGAAGTAAACCCTATCCATGCAAATTATTCATAACAAAGCATTACAATAACTATTATTTTAAGAATAAACACTTTTTGTCCATTTGACAAACCTGATGAATATCTATTTTGATCCATTTTTAAATGGCAAGTAGCATTTACCTGTATTCACCAAATGTTTCATCTTTAGCGGACTGAACTTCAGGATCTGGGTGTAAATCTTCTTTTTCTTTTACTATAATGACAGAGGGAAAGTTATACATAGACTTCTCAAAGAGATTTTTAGCAGTGTTATCAAAATATGTATAATCAAAAGGCACAGCACTACTCAACTGTTTTTGGTTTTGGTCATACAAGTTTTCCTGTGGCTAAATTCAAATCAGTTTCATCTTTGTTTAAATAAATAAGTAAAGTTGTTTGGGAAATTCTAATTTATCATTAAGTTTGCAGCATGTAGCAGATATTTTATTGCATAGACAATAAGTCTTATTGAAAGTGTCCATTTAGATAGCCTTCTTTATGATGGCCAAATTACTCAATATTCTTTGAAATAAGTTATCATGTTAAATCTATGTCATTAAACTACCATGAATGATAAGAATCAATCTCTTAATTATGCCACAACCTAGGAGGCTGGGGAGATGGCTCAGGACAGTAAGCGCTTCCCTGGCAAGCACAAGGGCCTGAATTCAATCCCCAGTTTAAAAAAAATTATATA